GGCCTTAGTATAAATTCTGTCGCACTGACTATTCCAACTTAGCTTAGGAGTAACATCGACTCCAAGATCTTTTTCTAACTCTACATAACAAGAGGAGAGCCATCAAGATTATATGCGAATGGAGGAGATAAAGATGGCTTTCCTGAAACAATAAGCACTTTACATTTTGCTGGATGGAATCGCATTTTGTTTCTTAGTGCCCAGTCAGAGAGATAGTCTATATCCATTTGTAAATTAGTGTTATCAGAAGATGAATGTATTTTACGCCAGATTTTTGTATCATCGGCATACAAAACAATATCAGTATTATCCGAAAGGCCAAGAGGAATATCATTGATAAACAATACAAAAAGTAAGGGACCAAGGATAGAGCCCTGGGGGACACCAGAATTAACTGAGAGGGTAGATGACATCTCATTACCAATAACCACTCTTTGGTAACGGCCTTGAAGGTAATTGGTAAGAAATTTGAGAAGTGTACCATCAATGTTATATAAGGTCTTTAGCCTATGAAGAAGGATATCATGATTTACAGAATCAAATGCCTTAGCAAAATCAAAATACACAACATGATTGATAATATTTTCGTTAAGAGACAATGCCAGGCTATCACAAAAGTCAACCATATTGGTTGTGCATGACTTGTGCTCTAGAAAACCATGCTGCCTGGGATCAAGAAGGGTTCTTGTCAAAGAAAGCAGTTTACGTTTAACAATGCGCTCAAAAACTTTCATGACTAAAAAAGTAAGGGATATTGGTCTATAGTTTTCAACCTCACTTTTCTTACCTTTCTTAAATATTGGGACAACATTTGCAAGTTTCCATTCTTGTGGAATGTAGCCGCTGTTGTAGGATCCACGAAAAATGCATGTTAGAGGGTAAGCTAAACCTACGGAACAATTTTTTAGAATTTTACCGTGTATGCCATCTGGTCCCTGGGCTTTATTTGAATTAATATTTGAAAGAAGCTTACGAACATCCCGATGATCGAAGTCAATATCAAAATCAACATCATTGACATAGGAGATGTCAGTGTCATAAAGTGACTACTACTACTACTATGTCGGAGCTAAGTCCGATCTACGCCAGAAAACCCCCTCCATATATCCCTGTCCCGCATCAGGGTTCGCAGTTCCTCTTTAGAGTTTGTCCCAACTTCCTTCAGTAACATAGACAAGTAGCTTTGTCTTGGTCGGCCTTGCTGTGCTCTACCGTGCGTAGGTTCCCATAAGACTAAATCACTGGCAAGTAGCTCAGGATGTCGGATGCAGTGTCCCGCCATTTTTAATCTCCTGCTTCGTAACTTGTTTGACAGCCTTGGGAGGCTACCATACAAAGTTATATTGCTGACCTTGTCCTTCCATGAGATACCCAGCACCATACGCAACATCTTTGTGTATGTCCCGTCCAAACTTTTCTCTTGAGCCTTTGTCAGTGTCCAGGTTTCTGATCCGTAGAGCAGTACTGATTCACAAGCCGCTATGAACAATCTAATCTTTAGGCTCTTTGAGAGTTTGGATTTCCAGATATCCTTCAGTCTATGTAGGGCACCCCACGCTTTTCCCTTTCTAACCCTTATCTCCCTATCTGTGCTCTCAATCCAGGAGCCTAAGTAGATGAAATCATCTACATTTTCTATGGCTTCCCCGGATCGACTTTGTAGGTCGCTAGATCGATCCTCCATATTCAGTGTCATGACCTTGGTCTTGCCTTCGTTTATGTGTAGTCCCACGCTTGCTGTCGCCGATTCTACTCTGAGCAGGAACTCGTTAGCCTTGTCCATGTCCTCAGATATAAGTGCTATATCATCTGCAAAGTCCACATCGGTGATGATCTTGGGCCCCACTCTTCTGCTTTTTCTACGTTCGAGGGTGAGTCCAAGTCGCTCCGCATCATCGCCTATGGCTTGCCTCATACAGTAGTCGATGACTATTGCAAAGAGGTAAGGTGCTAAGGTATCACCCTGTAACACACCTGCAAGTATCTCGAACAATTCAGTTTCTCCGTCTGGAGTTAGGACTTTGGCCATTCGTCATAAAGTGAAGGATCCGAAAACTGGTTATAAAAGAAAGAATTGAAAAGTTCAGCTTGATCTTTGGGTTTGAACCGAAGCTGTCCAGAATAACTAACACAATTAGGAATACGGCAGGAGTTAGATTGATACTTAACATGTGACCAAAACTTCTTAGTTATAAGCGCTGGATCATCACTATTGAAAAGATTGTCTCTTATTTTGGCCGATGAAAGCCTCTTAAAATCTTTACGGCTAGTAACAAACTTTAACTCATCAGAAATAGAACCAGAAATTTTAAATTTAGCTCTGAGTCTAAACTTTTTTTAATCATTTTAAAAACTGGATAGTTGGTGAATTGTAACTAAATATAGAAACTAGAAGTGCTTTACAAAAGTAATAAGACAAATGTAAGACAAACTCCGCACCCACCTGCCAGCCTGCTGGGCCGCGCCCCATCTCTGTTGAGACTGTATAGCGTAGGCATCACACTCTTCCCGGGTGATACCATGCATATCAGCTAGGTTCTCAGCTGTGATAGCCATCGGCATCTTAACGTGCTGGTCCTCAAGTCCGCCCCACAGAGAGTCTTCTAGCTAAAAGTGGGGAGACAGTTCACGTTATGTTACTAACATTCCTGTGCTTGATTGGTCACATTTGTATTCTGCATATTTTAAAATCATAAAATAAAAACGATATTTAACGTTCATATTATCAATAAATGTTATAAAATTTGTGCAATTTGGCAGTTCCTTAAAACTACTCACTGGAGGTACGGTACCGAATGGAATGCCAAATCTAGCATCTCTGATAACGTAAGGATACTGTGACATGTTCTCTACACCTCCTGCTGCTACTATGCTGGAGTCACCTGGAATAACAGGATTTAGAGAAATATTGAAATTTTTAATTCTTGCATTTCTTAGGTATTCTCACTTTCAGGAGAATCCAGAGTCAGACCCATGAATTGACAAACAGTGAAACAGCTGCTATTATCACACATGTTGGATCATCAAGCCAAAGATTAAGATAACTCTCCCCATAATTTGATATCATAATTAGTGGATTGATCTAAGATTCCTGATTGTATCTCGTTCGCGGCCGGTCACACTTATTACCGTAAACATTTGAAACTTGACCTGAATATTTTTCAAAGACATCCTCATTAAGTATCGAGATAGTTGGCCAGGTGTTCAACTTAAAATGAAATGATGTTAAAATTTGGAGCGTTTTTAAGCCAGTCGATTTTAAGTTTGTTAGTCAGGTCCCTAGCCTCTCGATATCATTAGTTATTATATGGCCGCGATGAGGTTGAGCTCCAGTTACTAGTAAATCTACGGTTGCTATGTTTTATGTGGCGTTTCATACATTATATAAGGCAATTCTTAGTTTGAATTCAATTTACTAGGGTTATATTCATAAATTTAGTTTTGTAGCTTATTCAAGCAGACTATAACAATAACCTAGCAAAAGTTATCACCAAGCTAGTTAGAAACTGGAAGAACCATGACTATCACGGATAGTCCACTCATCTCCACATCTGCACCAGAGCCTCTTATCTACAACCGAGCAGCAGATATTATAAACGGAATTATCTGTTTACTCTGCTTCTTTGTCGGGACAACAGGAAACAGTGCTAGCTTCCTCTACTTCCTCTCCAAAAAGAGGGATATTTCTAGACTGTTATACTTGCTGATAACAGCTACAGATATTGTTATTAGCGTGGTAGTGTTACCTGTAGGGGTTTCATACCTGTCCTCCAGATCTCCTGGTATGTTTGAGAGCGACTTCTTTTGCAATGCTTGGATATACTGTTGGTATGGGGCCACTAAGTTCAGTATATTCTTAGTGATATGCTTGTGTTTCAGTAGGACTTACTCCTTGATGAGCCCCTTCAAACAACAAAGCACTAGGGCAATGACCCTAGCAGTTACATGCTCTCTCGCACTGCAACTGGCTCGGTTAATAGCATTCCACCTTCTAGAAGGAACTAAAATAGTATACTCATCTTACTTTGTACGTTGTGAAATGTATCTTGCACACAGGTCCACTGTTGGTTACTTTATCATGATGGGAAGTGAAATTCTCTCGTTTGTGGCCCCAATGATAGCAGTCACCACAAGTTGCATTATATCTGCTGTGCTGCTCAGCAAGAAAGATAGCGAGCTTGGAACGGAGCTACAAAGATCCAGGAATAAAGCAACCGTGACCATTTTGTTATTTGCAGTACTGTACGGGTGTTGTAATGTTCCACTAGTTCTGCGAAAGGTAATGAGAAATTATGCTCTTCACATAAGCAAAGACATGGACGATTTCTATGATTTTTACGATTTCGATAATCAGGGATACTTTGCAAACGCTTCTATGACGCTGCTTATTGCAGCTAACTCTGCCGTTAATCCAATCCTTTACTTCTGGAGAATGGACTCTTTAAGAGAGTTCGTCCTGTCCGGAATGAGAAGAATTTGTTACAGATGTAGAGGACAGCACAGAGTGCAGTAGTGAGACCGTCTCACAACGGTGTTCCTCAGCAAGTGGTGTCGGCAATAGGGAACTAACTAACTAACTAGATAACTGTTTTACCTGTTAATAGTGCTAGTTTTGAACAAAGTTTACTAACTAAGGAAACTTTAATTTAATCAGAGTAAGAAAGTTTTGTGATTCTTCAAAAGTTAATACTAATAAACAAATCTAGCATACGAGATTACTAAGAAGATTTATTATAATGATTTCACAGTCACATTCATAAACTTTAACCATTTCTGTTTCATGAGTTTAACAAGATTTTTTAAATAACTCTAGAATGGTGTAAAGTAGTAAAGCAACAGTTTCATAAAATTCTTCATTTATGCACAAACTCCACTAAAAGTATCACGACAAAACAAGGCCAATTCTTCTACAATAAAGATCTTCAAATAAAAGTCGCCCGTCCGCGTCGCCCAATTGTCTACCCTGTTCCAGGGTCAATTTTTGTGGCATATCCATCTAGATTTTATAGATAGCCTTAACTATCTGCAACATCTCTCTACATTCCTAGAGATTATACTCTAACTCTCTAACAGAACGACTCTACACTCCAGTAACATCACATTGTAGCAGCTTCACGATACTTATATCCTTCTTCGTCCCCTCAATAAACTCTTCCATCGACAGTCTCCCGTCCGAGTCCTTGTCCATCTCTCTGTAGATCTTGTCAACCCGTTTCTCCGGCGTATTCTCGTCCTCTGGCATGTCCGTGTTGTTTACCATTTTATAGATAGCCATCACTATCTCTAGCATCTCATCCTTGGAGATGTCACCGTTTCCATCCAAATCATACATACTGAACGCCCACTTCAGCTTCTCATCAAGTGTCCCTCGTGAGGTGACAGACAAAGCAATTATAAACTCCCTGAAATCTATAAACCCATCCCCGTTAGCATCAAATGTTCTGAACACGTGCTCAGCAAATAGCGCGGCGTCTCCGCACGGGAAGAACGTGCCGTAGATCTTCTTGAACTCTTCTATATCTAGCGTTCCACTGGGACAGTCGTGCAGGAAGCCCCTGTACCATAACTTCAATTCCTTTGTTGAGAACCTGGTCATTTCACGGAGATCGGACATTCCCTCCGGTTTAAGTTTGCTGTTCTGTTTTCCCATCACTACTAGGGCAAATAAAATCGTTTAAAGAAAAAATTAGAAGAGCGATCAAACGATAAAATAAGAGAAGTGATCAACAGAGAGCAGTCTACATTCCTGCAAAGAATTTGAGCGTTATCTACCGGCACCGCATAGTTAACACCCAATATTGTACGTCTCCCCAGCCCGGCCAGTATAGTTAACCCCGGCCGGGCGGAAGATCGCTCGTCAAGAGACAGCGGAAAACGTAATGTGTGGCATGTTACATGTTGAACTCGCAATTAAGTAATTAGACAAAATAATTGTATTGCTTGTGTCACATTCGTGGTTTGATCGCCATAGAGTTATCATTTAACAACGATTAATTTTAACTAAGTGTTAACTTTGGATATGGTTATGACTAATTATTGTCTGTGAGGATTCAAACACGAAATTGTCTAAAATTTGAATAGAAAATCTAAGTACAATAATGTCTTTGGAAATGCTTATCCGTAAGTTGAGACGATAATATCCCTATGTCACCCAAGTTTTACGAATACCACAAAGAGGGATTCTTTGCCGTTTGGATGACAAAAATTACATGTCTGCCATTTGCCATTTTAGCTTGAAACTTGTTACCGTTTCAGTAAATGTGTTGCTATGTAGGCTTAGCAAGGCTAATTATACTCTCCTAACAGCCGTGTACAATACAATACTTAACAGATCGGTTACAAGAGGAGTTTTAATCTCAAGACAGCATTTTTAGTCACTTAGCACTCGGTGAACGCAGCTATTAAAGTTTCCTGACAGAGTTCAACTTGTCGCTTCTTAGAACACAAATTGGGACCTGGTAACAACGGGCTAGGACTGATTAAGAGATAACAGGGTCGGGTCATCTTTATAAATTTATAAGATCGTGCACTTTAAAACATGCTGGTATTGAGTATTGATACTGCACTTTAAAACATACTGGTATTGAGTATTGACACTGTATTTTAAAACATGCTGGTATTGAGTATTGACACTGTACTTTAAAACATGCTGGTATTGAGTATTGACACTGTACTTTAAAACATGCTGGTATTGAGTATTGACACTGTACTTTAAAACATGCTGGTATTGAGTATTTACACTGTACTTTAAAACATGCTGGTATTGAGTATTGACACTGTACTTTAAAACATGCTGGTATTGAGTATTGACACTGTACTTTAAAACATGCTGGTATTGAGTATTTACACTGTACTTTAAAACATGCTGGTATTGAGTATTGACACTGTATTTTTCATCAGTTAGTTAATATCGGGTGTTGTATCAACTTGAAACTCTGAATTTTGCTCCTTAAACTTAAATAATAAACCCCGCAAAATGAAACGTGTTGCAAGTAATAAAAAGCAATCGTAATAAAAAAGCAATCAAGTTCTAGGGCTAGCAATAACCCAAGAAAAGCAATCGTAGGAGTGGTAGATTCTAGGGTTAGCAATAACCCAAGCAAGAAAAATATCGGTTGCTTGCAAGAATTTAAAAAAAAAAGTCAATATTAATTAGAAAAGCAATCATCATAGTGTCTTGGTTCACCAATAACAAATATAGGCTTCAACCACAAACACCGTGATGCCATATCATTACACACCTAAATAACCGATTCATCAATAGATTAAACCTCGCCATTCACTGAGTAATATCATTGCTGGTGGATTGGGAGATTGTGACGTCACAAACAGACAACAAACAGACAACAAACAGACAACAAATAGACAAAAAACAGACAACAAACAGACAAAAAATAGACAAAAAACAGACAACAAACAGACAACAAACAGACAACAAATAGACAACAAATAGACAAACAAACAGATAACAAACCTACCCAGCTTGATTTCCTGAGCGGCGTTGACCACAGACTGGAAGCCACTGCCACAGAGTCTGTTGATCATGTAGGCAGGACGTTCAAGTGGCACCCCACATCTCAGAGCGGTATGTCTTGCGGAGTAAATGCCTGATTTGAGGGGCAGAGGTTAGTGGATATTATTACTATAATATATAATTATATCATTCGATGTACTGACATAATATGGGATGATGACAATCGGCTTGTTCCGATAATATCAATTTATACTTTGTTGAAGGTATGGACATATTTTAAATCATTATTAATATTTATAGAAGATTCTCTTTTTCTTATCAAGAATATTAAACTGTCACGTGTAAGTAGAACCACGTGGTACCAATAAATGCAGTCAATTATTGAATCTTCGTTTTTGAAAACACTAAAAAAGTGCACTTCAGGGAGATGTGCTAACCTTCTTTGGAGGTGACGGGGCAGACGTTACCGACTACTGTAGAACTGACGTGTTCAGCTGATAAACCTGCGGATATTGGTTGTTTCATGGGAGATTTTATGTTTTACAACTGTGGTTTCGGAAGGTATGTTAATTTTAAAAAACCATCAATCAATCATTATCGAAAATTGGGGCTTAGGATTACCGGTAAAATAGCAATTATTAAAAATATTTCGTAGTATTGCCAACAAACCTGCTTGAGCGAGGGCAGCTTTGAGAGCGATTTCAGATAGGTCAGTTATAGTCTTCTTTTTTAGAGAACCACCAAACTTTCCGAATGGAGTCCTTTTAGCAGCTACTATGAAAATTCCAGACATTGTCGGGTGTTTGCTAGGAAACAAAATTAATGTTTTACTTTTAGCTACTTTAAAATTTATCAGTAAGTTATATCACTATGATTTATATCTAAGGTTCAATATAACAAAACAGTTCAGGTAAAAGGATTGTAGATGGCATTTCCCTACTAATTATTTTCTGGGAGATGGATTGCCGAACAAGATTGAGGAAATCAAAATTTTCGAATAACAAATTTGATGCTCATTTAATTTAAAATTTAGCAAACATTAGTTAATAAAAATATTTAACAGAATGAGCTACAGAAATAAATAAAAACCCTTCTCAAATTCAGATTCAAATAAATTATAACTCTAATCGTTTTATCTCTTCGATAAGATCATTCTCAGAGGCAATCTTATCCATCTGATTTTTCTCCAAAGTCTTGCCCTGGGCCACCTGGCCCTTCAATTTTTCGATCTGGTGCAATTTCTTCTTAAGATTCCTGACCTTCTTCTCCCTCTCATCAACTATGGTAGACTGCAAATCTTGCATCGTAGGCTCTGGAACTTTCTCATCCTCAATTTGCTTGGCCCTATTTTCTCGTTTTCTCTGATTTTTCTGGGCTTGTCTAGAGGGCTGGTTTCGTTGGGCATCACTGCCGGGTTTGTAGACTCCACCTTGAACGTTGGGGAGGAGTGAGCGGGTAGCTGCAGCTGGACCTTGTCGGGAACCAGGTGGTCTGTACGCCTGAGGGGGTGAAGGTGTTGAGGGATTGGGGTCAGGGACAAAGGGATTTCGCGATTATTTTGCGAATTTTAACAGACTATACATTAAACTATACATAAGATTTGTCGCAAATAATGGGAAAAATCGCGATTCCGTACATGCCGCGATTTCCTATTGTCCCTGATAGGGGTGTACTAAGGGTAAATTGGAGAATAAATCATCTTGGAGCAGTCAAAAGTGAATGCCGAACAATCAAAAGCGTTGTTGCAAAATGGAGATACCACCGAGTCATTCTTTCAAGTATTTACAGTATTTCTAATTTTATATCGAAGCTTTAATATGGCATTATAACTCAAGAATTCAGTTTTGTGATTGATGAAAAAATATGCTGGATTAGGATTTTCAGATGAACTAAGACAAACAATGAAACAAAAGCTGACAAACCTGGGGTTTTCCAGCAGCAATCTCCTTAGAGGTGGCAGGTCTAGGGACAACAGGGGGAGGGAGTAGCGTAGCAGGGTTGATCCACATCAGCTGCCACAGCTGGGTCTCATCTGTTGGGACCTGATAGTGGTGGAGTATCTTACCGGACACATCCCACAGCTTAAACTCGTTGTCTTGTCTCAGTCGGGGTGACAGGGTACCTGGGAGGGGACAATTAGAAGGAGTCTATATAATAGGGTTACTCTTTCAAAATGGAGTACAGGGTACCTGGGAGGGGACAATTAGAAGGAGTCAATATAATAGGGTTACTCTTTCAAAATGGAGTACAGGGTACCTGGGAGGGGACAATTAGAAGGAGTCAATATAATAGGGTTACTCTTTCAAAATGGAGTACAGGGTACCTGGGAGGGGACAATTAGAAGGAGTCTATATAATAGGGTTACTCTTTCAAAATGGAGTACAGGGTACCTGGGAGGGGACAATTAGAAGGAGTCAATATAATAGGGTTACTCTTTCAAAATGGAGTACAGGGTACCTGGGAGGGGACAATTAGAAGGAGTCAATATAATAACATAAACCCGCCACGCAAAGGGTTTATATAACAGATCATCCCGCGCTAGCGGGATGATCTGATAAACACATACGAGTGCGCGCAGCGCACGAGTTTTGTGTTAATATGTAATCCCGAAGAGCCAGCTGAGGGATTACATTTATTTAGCCCTGAGCGTGAAGTGTTTATGGATTATAATTATCTCCGGCGATTTCGACAAGGGATTTATACTTTAGAAGTATAAAACAAGAAAGCACTCTAAAATGTAGTTGAGTCGTTGAACAGGAATTTGGTCAAAGTCATTGAAGTCACGAGCAAATCTGGATGACTGAAGCCAAGAATTAAATTTGTTTAGAGCCCAGTTGTTGACTCTAACTGTACTGTCCGGAACACGATTGGAAAGCAGTTCATCAATCTGAATGTCAAACCGATCTGTCATAGTGGAGCAATAGCTTGAACGTTAGCAGGAACAAGAGCTGGAAGGAGAGCAAGCAAAACAATACTATTTTTAGGGCACGGACAAGGGTAGCTGGCTAGTCGCCAACTTCTCACGCCACGCGTTGGAGAAATTCCAAGAATTAGCTGCTTTGGCAACGTTCCCAGGAATTTGCGTGTAAAAGAAGTGGACGGTTACGATGTTTCATATCACGTGGTGCGCTTTCGTGTCACGTGACACGTGGTATAGACTCGGCGTATGCTATTGGTGGCACGTGGTACGCACGTGACGCGCCCACGTGATCGCGCGTCTAACTGTTCTACTATTATCGAGTTCTAATCAGCAGTATCATTGATTATTGTAAGTCGGAGAATTGAATGATAAACATCTGTTACGACTAAAAAGCGGGCCGGGTTTATACAAATTTCCGGGGCGGGATGATATCACCTTGAGATGTTTATCTAACAGCGGGCCGGGCTGAGTGATAATATGATCCCGCGTCGAAATCCCGGAGATATTTATAATAGGGTTACTCTTTAAAAATGGAGTACAGGGTACCTGGGAGGGGACAATTAGAAGGAGTCAATATAATAGGGTTACTCTTTCAAAATGGAGTACAGGGTACCTGTGAGGGGACAATTAGAAGGAGTCAATATAATAGGGTTACTCTTTCAAAATGGAGTACAGGGTACCTGTGAGGGGACAATTAGAAGGAGTCAATATAATAGGGTTACTCTTTCAAAATGGAGTACAGGGTACCTGGGAGTGAGATGTGACAGGGGAAGTTTGTTGCGGCGAAGGAATAGTAAGCTCAATTCTTAAAATTTGGATATAATTAATAATGGGGTATAGGAGGTTTTTATGCAGTGGTCTTTGCTTGTTTTATGCAGTGGTCTGCATATTTATGCAGTGGTCCTTGCTTCTTGATAATCTCACAGGGTTTGCTCGAAGTACAGTCCCATCACTGAATGTAAAAGCTCTAGAAAATAAATGAAAGACCCACCTGTGATAAAGACATCTCCACAGGGGGCCCACTCAAAGAAAGTAGCATCCGCTGCCACAAAGTCTGATAACAACTTATTGTTCTCCGTGTCATAGAACTTCATCTTGCCTGGAATTATTAGTAATTAGTAATTATTAGTAATTAGTAATAGTAATTAGATAGTAATTAGATATCTTTTATCTGGGTTTCACATTTATAATCACCAATAAAAACTTTCAATTTGTATCAATGTTATACAGGATACAATGTAATGAAATAATGAATGAGATGACTTTAAAATGTCTTGTCACGTGACAGATGATAACAATCAGGGGACATTAATACATCCACATAATTAGAGGACTAATCGGGCAATAAAATTGAGCCCCAAAAATTAGATATCTTTTATTTGGGATTCACATTTATTATCACCAATAATTTAAATGATAATGCCGCCAGAAATGAAAGAAAATTCATGTACTTCATTCCACATGAAAAGGTAAATTCAACAGAATTAACATAACTTCCTCTTTGACCCCTTGGGAATTCAAAAAACATGTCCACCCCTTTATCAAAACCCCCATCTCAAGTCTTACCTCGAAGGTTCCCGAACCCACAGAGCCCGACCATGTTGCCCTGAGGGTTGAATAGGATCTCGTTGTAGTGGTTCTCCCCGAACTCGTGTATTGGATCACACTTCACGTTAAACAGTGTTCCTCTGAGGAAAGGGTTTTGTGAGGTCACTAGGGGCGCGGGGAGGTGAATATTGAATTTCTTTGCCACTTTAACTAAACTGCTTGAATTGTTACTGAAGCAGATACTGCAGATTTATTTATTTATAAATACGTTTTCCTCTTTATTTTTTCTGTGACCAAAATTTTTCTACGATATGAATATTATGTTTGACAAACTGTAAATGATTCGATTTCATTATCCAGAAAACATAAATCCCATAAAAATATCTCCCACATATAATAAAAGAGCCATACGATAATTTTATTACATTACTAGTGTAACCCGTGCCTACGGCCGGGACTTCACTATCGCAGTTGAAAACACGCATTTAACATCGCAGTTGAAATGCAAAAGTATATACCCGCCTATTATATTTGAAAACACGCATAACATTGTCGTATGAAAGTATGAACTCTCTCTACTGCAGTCCAAACAGACCGCAATGAGTTCCCCCTGGCCCTCCCTTAGACAGTGAATCTTACACGGTTAACCTTATTATGATTCATGTACCAACGCTACATATGCAGTTAAATAAGCAGTAATGGGAGAGAGAGAGCGAGGAGGGATGTGTGGGTGTACACACAATACGCGGGTATGACGTCACGTTATCCGTTACTATGACGTCACGTTATCCGTTACTATGGCAGCCATTTTGCCAGCCAAGCGGAGCTGCTCTGCAGCTGGTACACCTTCTTCCATCTCATGTTACTGCGATAAAATGAGCTGATTTCTTAGTTCTTGCAGTTCTGTTACAGTAAATGTATGTAGTTTCCCTTCCTATTTGGTTATTGGTATAGGTGCTCAGTCTTACTGTTCTACCGCGACCGATTGTGTGCTCTAGTGTCGTTTGCTATGTAACTTAATCTTATATTACATGATGAACTGAGTGAGTGTGTTGTATAATGTTGTAATGTTGTAATTTTGTTACACGGCGAAGTCAGCTTTTGCTGTGGTTGTTAACAGTATTTATTTATGTTTGATTTTTAAATTTTCAGATTACTCATGCTATAATTCTTGTTTTATTGCTCCTTGTTGTTTTATCAATTTTCCAGGTCACCCTTTTTATGTACATGATCAAAACCTGACCAGTTTCCTAACATTCCTCACATTTTAACCCTCAGCAATGTCCAAAAAGCTGAGTCTTGAAAGGGACTTCACCCGCTTCATAGACGACCCCACATTTCCCTATAAAGTGACAGTATGTGTTGGAGACAGGAGAGTTCTTTGCTCTGGAATGCTGCTCGCCCAACAGAGCTCTGTGCTAGAGAAGAAGTTTAGAGAAGATAACGGGGTTCTCATGTTCGAGGAAATGCTGGATGTGGAAATGCAGAAATGCGGAAATGCTGGATGTGGTTGATGGTGGTGAGGGTATCCTCACGTGCATCAATTATTTGCATGGTGCAGACTTACAGTTCAGCGTTGAAACAGTTGGAGTAGCCTTGAAGTTTGCGAGTCTATACGAGGTTGAAGGTTTGTTTAATGAAGCTCTAGAGTGGTTAAAGGAACATCTGGATGTCTCTAAATCTGTGAGAGAAGCTGTTGATTTCCTGAAGATTTCCAACCTTCTTAACAACGTTAACACGTGTTATTCCACACAAGTTCAATCTGTGATCAGGCAGTTTATAAGGTCGAACAGAGAGATGTTTGGATCTGAGTTGCCCGGTATGTTGGAGGAAGGGGTAACAGGACAAGACTTGTTATTCATAATAAATGAAAATCTTGTGAACAGCGGCGAAATCTTAAAGAAATGGGCCGCACTTTCAACAGAAAACAGAGAATTCATTGTAGGGAATTACTCCGGTATTGATTTCCCTAAAGTGTTTTCCACCATTGATCAGTTTTCTACTTTTATTGCATTAATGTCGGAAAGTGCTTCGACCGTCGAGTCTATGAAATTCTTGCTGGACATTCAGAAGAGTTACTTTGAACCTCAAATCCCCAAGAATGCTGGTCCGAGCAACGAAGAGAAACTCTGATTCCACAATCTGGCGACAAGAGGAAAAGGGAGGAGATGGATCAAGCTCCAACCGAAAGCCCGGAAAGCTCAAAGCCCCGAAGCGAAAGTTATAGGGAGAACGTGAAAGATTTGCTGCGGAAAAATTTAAATGAGGAAGATCTGATCACGGAATTAATAAATTTAGGAATATATTTATTGGACGAAACTATTCCAGATAAAGAAGAACCAGAAACAAAAATTTGTATAAAAGACTTACCCTCAACAGTTTCTATAGTTGAACTTAGAAAATTGTTTCCCTCCCGTAAGATTCGATCAGTTGAAATTTCTCCTAGCTGCCGGGCTAGCTGGACTGATGGAAAAATAAACGAAATTGATGCACAAATTACCTTCAGCAAAACATTTGACGCCTTAGCCTTCACCTTCGCTGAGATAAAAATGGACAAACGTGTTCTGAAAATAGTAATACCGGAGCAATCTAGTGAACGAAGGTTTAGCAAAAGGGATACCAGCCTTTACATAGGAAATATACCACGAAACGCAGCTGAAGACAGCCTATGCAATTATTTTCCGGATTTGGTGTGATAATCGAGATTGAAATCAAGGAGGGAAATCGGGGTAAAAAGTTCGCGTATATAACATTCGCTCAAGCGGTATATGCCAACTATCTTTTTCAGTGCAGTCGCACAAAAAGTTATAGCTATAAGGGGTACGAACTTGTTATCAATAGAGTCAAAAACAACTTCTTCTGAACATTTAATACAAAATTTGTATATATAATATCTAAAACTGTAAAATGAGCATGATGCGCATGAGTTCAAGTTATGAGAGTTGTATTTCTACAGTAATGTTGCTAAATAACTGCTCAGTTTTCGGTTCTTATCAGTTTAATATATCCTAGTTGTCCTTACTGGATAGCTTACTTTAGTTTCATAATGTTTATGTTATACTGATTGATTGTGTCAAAAATATAATTCTTGTTTTATAAATTATTGTCTACATCATCCTGTCACAAGGAATTCGTTAGCTGCCCCAAGTAAATAGTAACTACAATCATAATCATAATGGTAATATTACTCAATGTATATTGTATACCATCAGTAATGTGCCTGTGTACAATACACAGGGATGGTACAATATTGGTACTAACCACTGGATACTGACCACTGAGTACTGACCACTGGGTACTAACCAGTGACCACTGGATACTGACCACTGGATACTGACCACTGGACGGATACAGACCACTGGATACAGACCACTGGATACTGACCACTGGATACTGACCACTGGATACTGACCACTGGGTACTGACCACTGGATACTGACCACTGGATACTGACCACTGGATACTGACCACTGGATACTGACCACTGGATACTGACCACTGGATACAAACCACTGGATACTGACCACTGCACTGGATACTGACCACTGCACTGGATACTGACCACTGGATACTGACCACTGGATACTGACCACTGGATACTGACCACTGGATACTGACCACTGGATACTGACCACTGGATACTGACCACTGGATACTGACCACTGGATACTGACCACTGGATACTGACCACTGGATACTGACCACTGGATACTGACCACTGGATACTGACCACTGGATACTGACCACTGGATACTGACCACTGGATACTGACCACTGGGTACTGACCACTGGATACTGACCACAGGGTACTGACCACTGGATACTGACCACTGGATACTGACCACTGGATACTGACCACTGGATACTGACCACTGGGTACTGACCACTGGATACTGACCACAGGGTAATGACCACTGGATACTGACCACTGGATACTGAGTCACTGACCACTGGATACTGACCACTGGGTAATGACCACTGGATACTGACCACTGGATACTGACCACTGGATACTGACCACTGGATACTGACCACTGGATACTGACCACTGGATACTGACCACTGGGTAATGACCACTGGATACTGACCACTGGATACTGACCACTGGATACTGACCACTGGATACTGACCACTGGATACTGACCACTGGATACTGACCACTGGGTACTGACCACTGGATACTGACCACTGGATACTGACCACTGGATACTGACCACTGGATACCGAATACTGATCACGGCCTGGCTACACTATAACAATCGGAACTATGGGGAGAAAGCTCCGTAATTGAACATAAACGGCTGAAGGCCAGGAGGCAGCCGTACTTTTATTCTTCAGAAAACCACATTAGCATTTAGAATAATTTGTAGGCCCTATCTCTACCGCTCTTTCCCTTGACATGCCAGTATGTCTGTCTGTGTAGTATAAGTTGTTTCTGATACTATGTACGGTACAGATGTGGAGGTGAGACATATTTTGTTGATAGTAATTCTGGATTTTGATTGATCAATAGTAAACTTGAACAGGAGATGTATAACTAACTGACACCAGCAGGTTCCCGGAAAAAATCCCAGCAGCTTTATCTTGTGTTAATTCTCGACAGTAGTATTAAATATGCGATGCTAGCTATACAGTAATGAGACTGTATGATAATGAAGTGCTAACTTGATGAAGAGCCATTGTCTCTCCGATAGACGAGAATCTTGTCTTCAGTTAGTACCCTTAGTAGGACTAAATGTTTGCAAAACCTCACAGCATCCAGAGACGCGCCTAGCATGTGCTAATAAATTTAGTAGCACTAAACAAGATCTTTGAGACAAAAAGATATGTTTAGGAGCTGGCTGCTATCTTTTTTACAATTATTCTCCATTATTATTATCCGTTATCATTCCCCAATTATCGGGGCATTGTCTAGGTGGACTGGGGCTCGTTTTAAGGCTTCATGACACATCCCTACACTCTTCTTGATACACTCATAAGAAGGACATTCTACTATATAAATCTCAAAGAGGGTGGTATTAAACTAAGTATATCGATTCGATGTGATTATCAAGTGGGTAGCTGTAGTAGCAGACTGAAATTTGTAAGGTCAGTGTGTGAATTATGCTGTGTTACATCCGATCTGTTTTGAGACTTGTTGTGGCGTCGTTAATATTTCAATTTTGTAGCCTTGCCGTCTTTAATTTCTGTTCATTTGAAGGCTTTGTCTTTATAAAGGGCGTCTTTATAAAACAAACTGAGTGTAGTCTAACAGGAACCTTAATTTATACAGTTGTATTGTTAATAAATTCTTCTAAGGGTATAATTAAATAGAATAGACTCTTTGTTACCCCATGTATTGGACATATTGTGACAATCCTCCTAGACGTATACTTATACAGCTATTTCTTTGATAAACTCATAAGTAAGGCGTTCTACTACATATAAATAACTAACTTAGCATGAAATAATATTGATTCGACGCGCTTATCGGGTGTTTAGTAGCCACTAGCCAGGCTGGTAACCCGTACTACTACTGCTAACTGCTATGTATTACTAGTTTATCATGGGTCTTAATTGCTAATTTGGATTTCAGGTTCTTACTTTAGGTAATTTAGACGATTGTATTACTATTAAATTCTGCTAGGGGTATAATTAAATAGAAGAGATTACTTCATGTCAAGTATTTTTCCCCGTGCATTTAACAGATTTTGACAATGCTTCTACGTATACTTCTATAGCTGTTCATCATTTGTTTACTCTTTGATTTACATCTGCACTATGTCTCCATTTTAATTGTTGCAGTACTTGTTAAAATCGGTCAATAACAGAAAATACCGGTCTAACAACAAGGCCTAACTGCTTTAACTTTAAACTAAATACTTTAACTGTACTAAACTATCTACAGTAGACAAGTAATAAAAATAACGTCAATACAAAAGGCGTTTCATCACAGTCAAACGAGGCAGTCTGTCTGCTGCAATTAATCTTCTGTCTCTAGCATTACCTTGAAGTGAACAGCTCTAGTTCTCAACATTTCCCCTGTATATGAGCAGCTCTAGTTCTCAACATTTCCCCTGTATATGAACAGCTCTAGTTCTCAACATTTCCCCGGTATATGAACAGCTCTAGTTCTCAACATTTCCCCTGTATATGAACAGCCCTAGTTCTCAACATTTCCCCTGGTAGTGTTGAGTATCATGAATATTTTCCTAGCTCTCTTTTTCCATGTTTTTGCTTCACAGGAGATATTGTGGTCTTTTCTATTGAATATAACTGTAATACATTGATGTAAAGTTTATTTGAATTTTGAAATAAAAATATGAACAGCCCTAGTTCTCAAGATTTCCCCTGTATATGAACAGCGCTAGTTCTCAACATTTCCCCTGTATATGAACAGCTCTAGTTCTCAACATTTCCCCTGTATATGAACAGCTCTAGTTCTCAACATTTCCCCTGTATATGAACAGCTCTAGTTCTCAACATTTCCCCTGTATATGAACAGCTCTAGTTCTCAACATTTCCCCTGTATATGAACAGCGCTAGTTCTCAACATTTCCCCTGTATATGAACAGCTCTAGTTCTCAACATTTCCCCTGTATACGAACAGCTCTAGTTCTCAACATTTCCCCTGTATATGAACAGCTCTAGTTCTCAACGTGCTACTTTCTTTGATAAACTACTGGAGTTACTGTTTTATAAGATACTCTAATATAGCGGAGTAACATGCTACAGAGGTTTTAAATACATTCCACGCTGCGAGTTTAGTGTACGTTTACTAAGTGTGTAGCATTAAATATTTGTAGATGTGGCTCCGGCTTGACAGATAATCTAACTTTGGTAACATGCGACCTCTCGTGAAAAATCGGTGATTTACGAAAATTTTGTCGTATGTTGAATTAGTATATGTATTTGAGGTAATCGAATTTAAAGAAAAAATGGTGGATGCAATTTCTTGATGACAGCCGTCACGTTTTGGTTTTTCTCGGATCTCTTCACTCTGAAAACTTTGAACTCGTTAATGTTACAATATCTTTTACTAGTTCAGTTTAATTACATTTACTAAAACCATGACTGTGATAACACATACGTTTTAATCTATTGAACACATTCTGTAGCATTATTGATTATTCCTTCGCAATATTGCAGTAAGTCAGCGCAATCCAGTGGTAACCATGACCAGTTCCTCCTCTAATGAAATACAAGCCCCCTCCAGCTCCAGTACACCCTACACCTCCTCCTCCTTCACCAGCACGAGACACTGGGACCCCAAAACAGATCAGCTAATCAGTGCTATTCTAATCGTTATCTTAGTAGTGGGAGTTCTGGGAAACATTTCCGCTTTATTCTACTTCAGACTTCCCAAAAACAGCTCCCTCCCGGATAAGCTCTACATGGTAATAGTTTCTATTGATATGTTGACACTTCTCTCGGCTATACCTGTCATAGTATCCCTGTTCAACCACCGGAAGGAGATGCTCTTTTCTGGACATGATTTTTGTGGGATGTGGACAATGGTAAACAACTTCCTGTTCAGGCTTTCAATACTTTTGGTCGCTATTTTGAGCGTGACAAGAAGCATTGCAATCCTAATGCCGCACAGAGCCAAACGGTTTCGTGTAAGTGCAATATCAATGTTGGTCGCTAGCTATATCACAGTTATTCTCATAATAGATTGGACCGCACTTTGGCTAGGCTGGATAAGGTCAGCTCATTACCCACCCTTCTCTTACTGCACTATATTCCTAGCCAGTACTACACCAGCCTGGGCTAAAACACTTTACCAAGTAACAATACAACTTGAGATGATCCTACCTACCGTTATAGTTTTCCTCAGTTTCGCAGTTAGTTCGTCGGCACTGCTGTGGAAGGCTCGCGCGAAGGCAGAGACCGAGAAGAAACTACAGCAGGCTTCAGTGACTATCACGATTTTTACTGCTTTATTTCTTCTTTGCAACATACCCATTTTCGTTTACCAAATGGCGTGGTTACTAGCATCGATTCCATCTCTACGAACTTCCATTGACTTATCAATTCTACACGGAAACTTCGGAGGACTGATGCTCCAGTATTTCCCTTATATCCTAAATGCTGGATTAAACCCATGTTTGTATTTGTTGAGGATGCGTCGTTATCAAAGACAATTTATATGTTGGTTTCAAAGCTTGTCACGAAACATTGGTTATTCGCCTTCCTATGATGTTTCAGTATAAAGCTCCCTTTTCAACTTCTTTTTTAATTGGTTCTAGTTAAACTATTAAATTATTGGCCATTGATTGTTCGAATTTAACTGCACACAATATGTATTCTAAATTATCGTTGTTATTAACCAAATCAAGAATAAGAGGGTAATTCATCATGTTTCCAAAATGGAATACGTTCATTATTAACAATCATCGACTATAACATTTCCTCAAAACAGTAGTTTCTCCGTTGTCGCCTCAACTGATTACCAGAAAGTTCTAATATTTAACATTACAAAAGCGCAACTAATAAATAACGAAATCCCTCGCAATGCGTCAAGTACATTAAATAAGCGAAATTTGCATCTCCTTATCAAAAATGAATAATCCTAGTTCACTTACTTGCATGGCATGAACCCGTAGAGAACGATGAACTCATCTCGTTGAGGATTCCACTCGACAGAGTAAACTGGACCGTTCTTCTTCAGTACTATCTGGTTACTCTCTCCTCGGATACTTATAAAGTACAGCAATGTCTGTCCGTAATAACTGATAAGGATTTTGTTATGAAATAAATAAATTTCAAGTAGTATTGATTGATGTTGCTATAGATAAATTAATATTGACTTTTGGTAGAAATATTCAAGAAGAGTTTGTCTGATACATTGAGCAGTTCACAAAAGAAGTTGTATAAAACAAACCTTGAACCGGTTTTATCGACATCATTTGAGGCTATGATAATGGCACATTTCCCTGACTTATTAAACTTAATGTCGCAGTTATCGACCTTCATGAAACTTCTGTGAGCGACTGCAGCTGTAAATAAAGTCGTTAGTAAAACATAATAGTTAGTAGACATAAGGCACAGTAGTAGATAGGTTAGGAGATGTAGTAATATTAGTGTCCGGGCAAAGCTTGTTGCATTCAAACATGGTATAAAACAACAGAATTAATACCAGAGCAGCTAGACCTACCTGTTTTCTCGAAAGTTCCATACAAATAGAGCTGCACGAAAGCGTGAGCGCCCTTTATTGAGGGTACGTATAGAGCAATGTGGTAAGGATCATCACCGGGGGCTACAAACACTCCGCCTACTTTCTCCCTCTGTATCCTGACAAGATGTTAAAAACTTTACATTAGTAAGTAACAACTAGGCATGAAACGGTTCGTGTTTGAGAAATAAAGAACATAGTTTTCAATATCTATTTAATTAATCTAGTAGCTGAGTGTAGTTGAGTGTGCACTTCGATGTGTACAATTTTTGACCAAAAGGCGTCTTTCATTAGGTCATTCTAAACCGAAATCATCTTGGTACCACATTTTTATCGGCAGTCCCAGTCCAACAGGGCGAAATTTCTAAATTACCAAATACACACTTGTCAGCAGGAATCAAATCTGAACCTGAATTCTCTGGTTAAAAATAACAGTAATATAAGTTAAAATAAAAAAAACATAATTTACTGAAGTGGGAAGACACTCTTAAATTCAATCAAATAAACCGGATGAGGGACTTCTTATCTTCATAAATATTTGTTGCCAGAGAGTAAACTTTAGATGAACCATAAATGACGGGAAGATTTCCACAGATTATAAGCTAAGTAGAGTGCCCCAGGAACACGCACCAGAGTAACAGACACGTGAGTGTCGTACTCTCGGCTAAAAATCAGTTTTTCGTGAATATCTTAAAAACTGAGCACTAAGACCTTATGTTGCTTAATAACTTGTATATTAATAATGCTATTGTAGATATTTTAAGCCCAAATTTAAGTCTCTAAATCTTTAAGATGCCGAGATAAAAAATCCCAAATTTGCACCTGAGGGAAATTTAATAATTTCGCAATATTTTTTTTTTTAATCAATAAACTTTCAAATTGTTACACAAATACATCATTTTATTTCAAGGAAAATATCGCCGAATGACCTTACATGCCTTGACAAGTGACCGAGTGTAAACAAAATTAGGGACACCGAAACACCAGTTGACCAGTAAACTGATCATATAGGACCGACTGGGACTCCGGACTACCGATACAATTTAGGTACTAAGATGATTTTAGATTAGAATGACCTTATGAGAGAGTAAAGACCCTGTATCTATGTAGTCAAAAATTGCACACATCGAAGTGCACACTCAACTAGACTCAACTACTACAATAAATACCCAAAAACCCACCTTTTAGCGACTGTAGAAAAGTCGTTGTTTTCAAAGAGTTGCACCTCAGCGTTACAAGCTCTAGCACAAGTGAACTCGTCATCACTCCAGAGTGGGGTCCAGTGGGTTTGTCCACGCTTAACATAACCATAAGCGGGCTTGTCTTGCTGTAACGGGAAAGTTCTTTCATTAATACAAATATTACTTGTCATAGCTTTCACAATTTTGGTACGAAGACCCACTAAGATATTATTGGTCCCTAGTCCCTACCTTGACATTATATTAGTAAATATCTAGGACAAATCAATGAAATAAACCTGTGGTTCGGCATCCAGTTTCCAAATTTCAACATTGGGAGTATTTTCAGGGCAGTCTTCGGACACCTGGTACTGTTTCCAGGTTACTAGATGAGTATTCTTAGGTGAGAACTTCATCAACATGGTTCGGGAGCGGGAAAGCGACGTGATCATCCGGTTCTCCTGAAATTTACGATATAACGTACTCTGAAGCAACCTGGACATCTGCCATGGCCTGATTCACTAAACATCACTGTTTCCAGACTCCAGTATGTAGGGGGCAGGCAGTGGTTGCGAAAATCCGAAGAGATATCATCACAGAAGTGGATCGAAAAAAACCGCTCATATGTCTCGAGTACAATAAGACATCTGTGGACTGTCGTCAGCAAAAGAAACAGCTTATACGATAAATGGAAGTTCTAATTCCCAGCTGATAAAGTTAAGAAGACTGAGCTAGAACGAGCTCGGATTACCGCACGTACCGGGGTCTGGACGAAATTAAACCGGCCGATTAATACATGCGTGCGCGAGCAAGAGGCGCGTTTTTCTGCGTCCAGTTAACAGAACTTTGTATAGCGCGCCGTCCTACTCGTCGGTAAAGAAGACCGTTTCGAGAAGATTAGCATGACACGCTTCATGGGACCTCTATATTTTAAACAGATAAAGTAGCCTTATCTGAACTTAAAGTCATTACTTTAGCGTAGCAAGATTCGTTTACTAACCTCAACATCGAAGACTATAGTTTCAGAACCGTTACAGACTGCGATGTACTGTCCATTCTTGGACATACATACCTGAGTAACAATGTTAAGGACATGGATGAAAAATTCGTTAAAAAATGTTATGCAATGAAATATTTTCCTCTTGATACGATCAAAAACAATTCTGTTAAGTTCAGCAGTGAATCAAACTGTGCTTTGATTGAGAATTGAGCTGTAAAGTGCAATTTTTCGGCAGGGGGGCGCCAACATGCAACGTTACGCCACTGCCACTAAGTTTGATACAGCTAGAAATTCCCCCTAAATCGTAGGAAACTTCTTAAAATGAATCATTTGCTTACCACGGAACATCTTTTTTTGGTGTCAAAAACACTCTCAACAGTTTCGCAGCCAGGGTATGAGTATTTCTTTAACCCTTCCGTTCCCCGTGTGATAAAATACTGCTGTGTCATTCCTACCACCTATCATTCGTGGGAAAATTTAATTGATTAGTTTGGTGAAATCAACCAATTAAGCACACTTTTTTTTGAAATTGAACTTCAAAATTATTGACAGTTTCGAGTTATTATTTCTGAGTTATTTGTACCCATGATTTGTTCAGTTAAGACTAATATCATGAGTTTGAGTAGAAGGAAAAGTGTATTATTAAAAGTGTAACATTATTTTAAGCAAAAGTGTATTATTATAAACAAGGAGTACGCTGAACTTTTACAAATAGTAGGTTAACTTCTGTATATTCAGATGTGTTCGCCATAAATATGATCACAGGATCTTTTGTTGGGCACTTGCCAGTGAGTAATACCACAAAAATAACACCACAAATAAGCTGAACATACTAAAGCTTTAAAATTAGAACATGGAATGAATATTTACAGATAAAATTTACAGTAACATAATACAACAACAGACAAAAATCGTGTAGGTAATTTTTCTAACAGTAATTAAATCAAAGTAAAAGTTAATCAAAAACAGATAAATCTATCAGTGCACTAAACAAAGCGCTAAAGTTAATTCGAAAAATTATAAAATGTGAGAATAAACAAAGGGTAGTGGATAAAAATTGACATCTTTAAATTCCAAGATCTAATCTCATAAAAGTAACTTATTGGTCACTGATAAGTCACTTGTAAGTCACTCACTTATTGGTCACACAACCATCACTTAAATACCAACTAAAACCACATACCACTACGTTATCTTACCACCGTAAGTTCCAATAGGTGGCCTATACTCCTTTGGTAAGATCTTCATCTGGAAGGCATTAAAAGCGTATTTCCCAGACCCTGTATTCTTCTTACAATTAAGCGGGCGTACTCCATGACTACGCAGAGCGGCCAGCGCATTATTAAAACCACTAGCCACCAGGCTGTGTTCCCGGGACAGCACGCTGACCGACTCGTACGTGACCGACATGCCCGTCCTGTCTTTAGCAGATTTACAGGACGTAACACGTGAGCCGGACATGAGCCGCACTGCTTCATCAACCATTGACAACAACTTGATGTCTTTGTAGATGTGGGCACGAGCGTGCTTACATATTGGGGATATGAGCGAGTCTAACTTCTGGATATCCCCAGCCACATTGTTTTGTGTTACATACTCTTTATACATCATGAAGTACACCTCCAACTTACATAACCCGTCTATGTTAATTGTGTGTTCCATAGTGTTAGTGCCCACTCGTTCGGACAACATCTGCTGCTCGTTCACCCCCTTGGTGAACAACACCGTGCTGATGGGGATAGGTTTCCTGTTCTTTAAACCGGGCGGTAACATGTCCCAGATATCACTCCCCACTCCCATGGTTATTGTGACTTTATAAGAGAGGCCACTCAGTGTAAACTCTCCTAATTTATCTGAAGTAAGGATGAAGTTACAGTGGGATAAGTTGTTAATTGTGATCCAGTGGTCCTCCAACATTGTCAGTTCCATGCCGTGGGTACTGAGTAAGCACTGGAATTGCACTAGATAACCGATATTATCCAGGATCTTGAAGAATGCTTGATCCTCCCTAGTGTAAGCGTCTAGCAGTGCAATGTTGAATGTTGTGTAAATCACTGTTAACCCCTGGCTAAAACATTGGTTCATTCTCATTTCTATCTCAGGAGTTGCAGTGAAAAATGAGTTGAAGATTTTGTTCTCCTCTAAAAGTAAGGTGAACATGAGCCCCTGTCTAGATTGGGTCACCACGGGTTCCAACGATGCCAACATTTTTAACAAGTCTCTGCCGATAGTTTTACTCTTCTTCTCCACAGCTAAGATAAAATTAGTGATCGCCATGGTGATGTCAGTTTCAGATTCTTGCTTTTCGCTTCGATTCGACAGCGAGTTTGTCCTGGAATTGACTGATTTTACACGGTATTTTTCACCATCCCAAACGTAGTCAGTTTCTGGTACTGACCACTGTCTGTCACGCAGCCTGCAGTAACTAGCAGTCGCCTCGGCTTGCTCCTTCATCTGAACCCCCATCAAAACATCTCCAGTTTTACAAAACTCAGTCAGATCGGATATTTTAGTGGTTAAACTAACCGCTAAATCGTACAAATCAGAATGTTCCAGAGCAATATAATCAATGAGGATCTGCTTGTACTTCTCAATATCACTCCATATCTCACACAGAGTGTTAATATTGTTCATAACCCTATCATGTCTCACAGAATAGATGTTATTCTTACTAGCTGCTACCAGAGACGACTGTAATGATTGCTTGTACCCGAGTCCGTGGGAAGCGAACGCCCCTACCGTCACAGTAAAATAATTAGTTTCACATTCCTCAATATCACAAACTCCCAGCGCGTACACGGCTAGATTAATGGGACAGTACTGCCACTCACTCTCTTTTTTCTGGGTACTCTTTCTGAAGAGAGCCCCATCGTAGTTGGACAAGAATCTTTTAGCCCTGATCAAACTGAGGAGAGAAGTTTCATGATGGTTTATCATTTGCGCTACCATCGGATCATATATAGGATCCAAACTCGTAAACTCCTCATACGAACTAATAATAGTTTCCTTCTTACTCAACAAAAACTCAATGTAAGCCACAGGAAATGATATGGACGCCTGGTGATCCCAGCATTGCTCCGACACGTGGATCTTATCGTGGTTAGTTTGGAACATGAAGCCCCGATGAGAGTCCAGTTTGATAGAGTCTACACTGCTGACCATATGTTGGAGGGACTTGTGGGAGGTGGGTAGTTTGTTGTGGTACGAGGTGGACAGTTCTAGCGTTATCATCCCCACGTTGTCGTTACCTGAAATGGAATGTGGGTCAGGGTTGTGGTATTTATCACTTTTGTTACGTGTTGCTTCTTTTAAGTGCTCTTAATCACTGTTAATAGAATATTAGTCACTGTTTAGTTGATTATTTGTGTATGTAATGTAATCGCACAAAGACCCACTGTTCTACCATCAACTGAGTGAGCTGAGTGTTGGGCCCTTAAAACATTGTTTAAAGCCACACCTGGAATCTCAAGTACCAGGATCAGTGATGGAAGCTAAGCAGATACATAGATGGAGTTGCTATCGAAAGATATAGAACTCAGGTATCCAACATCGTACCTTGATTATATTGTAGTATTTTCTTCTAATGTGATCTGACTGTATGTGACCTGACTGTATGTGACCTGATTTCTCTGTAGAAATGCTACATTGGTCGATAATTAGATATGGATGGAAAAGTTCTACCGTTCAGTATTTCTTACATCTCTGACGATAAGTTCAACTGTAGGACAGAATCGATACAGTCTCAGAGGGACCTCTAGCTAATTATGTAAAATGTTTAGTAAATTTGACTGAAACAGAGAGTAAAAAAAGAGATGTAAACTGAACGAGAAATTAGAATGAGCTAAAAAGGATTTATCACCATCAGATGAGCTTTGTAGTTTGTTCAGAAGACTGCCAAAACCAACGTATCTAGAGTTCTTCAGATGTAGCCAAGAAACACAGTTGTAAGAGTAAGCAAATGACAGTGAAAAATGGGAAGGGAGGAAATCAGTACACACACGGCGTTGAACCCAAAAACTTCCTGAACCTTGTATTTGATGACTTACTTCATGACTTACTGCAACGTTTAAAAACACTGCCCGGTGGGACCATTCTTAGTTTTTCACATAATATTATGATTAGGGAAAAGGAATCCGGAAAAACTACGATTTCAAGGAAGGTAGTTCAGAACTGCATACCTTGTTCCAGAAAGATCAAAAAACAAAAAGGAACCACACAATCAATGTGCGAAAGAAATCTGACAATTGATTTAGAAGGATTATATAACTATATAATTAACGATATAAATTATCAGGGATCTGTTTTTAACTTTACCTTTCGACTTTTTCTTAGATTTTCTACGTTTAGCTGGATAGTCTGCATTTTTATAAATCAATTTAAATGCGTTAGTGCTGATCCGGTATTATTTCAGGACCAATTCGTAAGTTAAGTTTCCGCATGAACGCACAGTAAATCAAAGATATGTACCGTTTTTCATGAAATGATGACATATTATAGGTCATATCAACGCAAACGGTTGATATGACCTTTAATATGTCATATAAAAAATGCCACATTATTTCCCCAACGATTTCGACACGGATAAAGAGTTCAGGAAAAAGTCTTACCCGCATCATCACGCAGAGGAGACACAAGTTTAGAATCCTTCGCCGACTGAATAGTCAGGATATCAGTCACAACATACCCCATCACCGTTCCTGTCGTCATATTATTAATACAGAACTTCAAACAAGACTCATCCCTGACATTCTTATCGTCCACTTCAAAGAGGAATGTTTTGGTGTAGTGAGGATTGTAGGTGTGGTCAGCGCTCTCTGTCTGGTACCACAGGATCCACTTCTCGTGTTGTTTGATGTAGACTGAAGCGAAGGTGTTCTGGGTGGGTGAGTTCACTGGGAGTTCACAGGATACTACTACCTGGTGGGGAATGGATAGTGAGTTTATTATCAGATCCCTCCTTCCTTGAAGTTATAATTTATATCCTTTATAGGAGTTCCCGGAGGAATATTCTCGATATAAATACTTGGAAAATCTGATAGTTTAAATTTTTTTTACCGTAGATAAAAAAATAATTCTTTGCCATTGATTTGTGTGATATATTAAATTGAAATAATTGTTCACAAAGTTTTGGATTCAGATTATATTCGATGAAGGGCCAAGGGGTCCAAGTAATTGCGGACATAGTTCACTATGTGTTACCGTGTTTGGGTGCCCATCATATTCTACAGCTGGGGCAATATTTTCGAACGGCTCTATTTTATGATCATTTATTGCTGTACTCTGCAAAATTTGAAAAGTATTTAATAACAATAATTTGATAAATAAATAAATAAATCTAACAAATAATTTAACCTCTCGTGTGTTATCAGTAGGGAGGAGGTACTCTTCAGTTCCGAAACATTTTGATATCCTGTTTTGTTGAGCAAGTAAAGTGTTGTATTCTACCTGAGGGGAGAATAAGAGTCTTATTTATAATTATGTAAGCTTCTCTACACACCAAAAAAACTTATTTTTTGTTTAACTAACTTAAATTATAAAAGAAAAAAAAAGATACTCGATTTGATATGATTTACTTATCTCACTTTACTGTTAAAAATCTATGTCGATAAAAATGTTCCCAATCGATATTAATATGTAATAATAAATGTAATGATTCAAATGGTATTTGTTCAATAACTGCATAAATTAATTAAATCTAATGATTTTATTAACCTGCAGATCTTTCCATTTTCTGTGTAACGACATGTAACCACAGTCCGTAATCGCTAGTTTCCATCTCTCTGCCACCTCTTTAGACGAACAGTATAGGTGATACTCTGAGTACAATTAGTCATTATTTATTAAATTATAATTAAGTACTTAGATTAATTAGATTACTTAATTTAGCAATTTAATTAAGTACTTAAATTAATTAGATTACTTAATTTAATAACTTAGACAAATAACTTGTTACTTGTATTATTATCTTTATTAATTATTGCACTTATTACCAATCACTTTGAAAGGGCTCAGGAGTAGTCTTATCCGAGTATGAAGTTGGATGAGGCTATTGGCATGACTTGGGATCGCTTAATTTAAAGTGCAAGAGGGAAGTATCCATTTTTGTTTCTAGGAAAATAAATGGTGAACATTTAAATTTGAGGCTAGTCAGACTTTAAACCTAAAAGGTGTAACGAGTGCAAGACGTGTACTCATCGCGATAGACCTTGTTTCACAATCACATAATCAGTAAATCGGATGGAAAATGGAAATTAATCATATTCCCAGGTAGGTTATATATTTTAAGAAAAAAGTTCTTTTCACAATTGCACAACATTAAGTTGAAATACAATCCTCTCATTAACGGTAAGTGTAAAATAACTTCATGAGGGCACATGACATTGATGTAAGTAGCGTGTTAAGAGTCTAGCGATATATATTCGGAATGTTGTGAGTTCTGTTATTCGTTTCAACTTTGAGTTTTACGTCTGGATTTTGTTAAATAAAACCAATTTGTTAACAGCCGGTGTCATATATAATAATTATCAGTATTCGGTTCTGTGAACGCTAACAATCGCCTCCCAGCAAATAGCGTTATCTGTTATTAAACCACTTTGAAGAAGATATCGAGAGGACGTGATGGCTTCGAAAATTCCGAATCTTCAAGTACCCATAAACTTTGGGTTGGAATATCTCGGTTCCCCCTCCCATGGCAACCTGAAGTTTGTTCTGCACGATGAGGTACTTCTTGCCAACTCAGCAATTATGTCCTTAAATAGTCCCGTTATAAAGAGACTCACAATAGAGCTTTTTCAAACAGAAATAACAGTTGAAGAGTTCTCCAAGAGTGCACTACAGTGTTTCCTAGAAGCCTCGTATTCTGGTGTTTTAAAGAATGTATCTAAACTAAATTTCCGGGATCTGAACAAAATAGTTCACGTTTTTGAGGTAAACTGGTTAATTGAACGTTGCTTTGAATACTTCAGGGAATTGACAGAGTCCGTTAAAAAGGATAAAGATAACTTTGACGATCTGTTTTTCTTGTTTGACGAGGCCATGTACATTCTAGACAAATTGAAAAGTAGAAGATTTATTGATCTCACAATCAAGAAATGTACATCGTTGGCAACTTGCATACAGGATTTTGCAACCAACTACCTCAACGATATCTCATCTTGTTCTACAACCAATCTTGATGTGATAATGGAAATTACTGTGAAACAGGAGCACATTCTCGTGGAAGCTCTATTTAACAACTTGGAAAGGAACGGATGTACACTTGATCAGAACTGCAGATACATACTAGAGAGATTGAACTACAAACCCTGTTCTTCTGCTCACGAACACATCTATCAAAGACTGTTTGAAAAGCTTGAGGAAGTTGATACTCTATCAAGTGAGGATTGCAAGGTCATCATGAGAGCAATGCAACAATATAATAAAGCACTAAAGGAAATGAAGGATGCCATGTCCTACGCAGCTTTGCCAAACTTGTTTCACGATTTCCAGCATTTAAATAACGTTAACGATTATGACGAACTCGCAGCTTTTTTGATAAATTCCCAACTGGTGAAAAACAGCTATATTTTCTATGACGTTCTTTATAACTGGAAATTTGAGAAAGGACACGAAACAGATTCACCAGTCGATTTCGCCAGTAACGACTCGGTTGAGAAATTCGCTATAATTATGCAGGGCAAAGGATGGAAACCCGTGGAATTAAAATATATAGAAAAGAAAACTCCGTCATTCTTAGGTGGATTTACATCTATAATGTACGAAATAATGCCAATTTGGTGTCTGATAACTGCTCCAATCGTATACCATCAACCCGTGAATATACGCCAGAAGAACTATTTGCAAGAAATCACGACATTAAGTTTAAATTCAAACAGGACTCTAGAACAGATTGCAGCAGAGAAGGGGATTGTGGGTTTATACTGCAAGTTACTGCAGCGACAGGAAAGTTAGATGATTCCTTTAACATTCAACTGGTTATAGATCCTAGCCTCTACCCTGATGAGATACATTTTCACAGGGAATCACTGATCATGCTAGTTGACAAAATACACTTTACATTTGATGTGATTGAGGGGGACAGGACCTACAGTGACTGTCCTGTATCATGCCTCGGTAGACCCTTCCGAGATGGAACAGAACGGTTCTGGTCTTGGGGAGCTCAATGTTTCTATAAGAATGGGGAAGCAGCCGCGAATCCGGGGAATCTCTTAAAGAGGGGCACCTTTCACGGTGGAAATGTTAAGATTAGACCTGTTGTTTATAGGTTTGGGTGATCAGACGATGTTAAGGAGAAAGTGTAATGACGTCATGACGTGTGTAATGACGTCATGACGTCGTATATATCAGTACTTTAACAATGGGATCTTTTCTTTTAAATTTCCACTTAGAGCACAGCAAGTTCTTGAAAATTCTATTTTAATAAATTAGTTTGAACATATTACATTTAGTCAAAAATACCAGTTTCGGTTCATTTTTGTGTGTTTTAAAGCGGTTGCTTGGATAATCTCTAAGTTGAGCAGTGAATATATTCGCTCTGATAATGTCAAAGACCTATGGCCTCGATTGCGCAAACATTATTGACAATGTTGTTTCTTTCAATCACTAAAAAAAGGTAAAAGTACCTGAGTTTTGAAAGTCCAGTTTGATACCGAACCCATGTGCTTTCGACTGACAAATGTCCACAGTAAAATTCTCAAGCAGCAATACGGTTTCTAACGATCCTGTTGAGTAATTTAAGTTTATTCTAAAAAGCTGTGTCTCAAGTAAAAAAGATGGATCAGACCAGCTTAGAAAGTAGAAAATAAAAGTTTCTTATAATATCTCAAATTCAACACGGTACTATAAAATCATTAGGTCAGCAAAAATCAACCGAAAATATTTACAACAAAAATGCCGTTCTAACCTCGTTCATTCTTAGACGTCAACACCACATTATTTACCAACAGCACCCATCTTCTCACATATTGATCACAATCAGAGGGTTTCCTCTCCGCTGCAAAGTCGTAAACACTGAGGTAGAACCACTCAGAGAGGACGGGATCTGTTGTTTGCAGGAGGTAGGCTAGTTCCTTGTTGTTTACCTTCATTCGGACATAGCTTCATTCGGACATAGCTGTGAGGGATTATTATATTACCTTCATTCGGACATAGCTTCATTCGGACATAGCTGTGAGGGATTATTATATTACCTTCATTCGGACATAGCTTCATTCGGACATAGCTGTGAGGGATTATTATATTACCTTCATTCGGACATAGCTTCATTCGGACATAGCTGTGAGGGATTATTATATTACCTTCATTCGGACATAGCTTCATTCGGACATAGCTGTGAGGGATTAGTATATTCGGACATAGCTGTGAGGGATTATTTCATTCGGATATAGCTGTGAGGGATTAGTATATTACCTTCATTCGGACATAGCTTCATTCGGACAGAGCTGTGAGGGATTATTTCATTCGGACATTGCTGTGAGGGATTAGTATATTACCTTCATTCGGACAGAGCTGTGAGGGATTATTTCATTCGGACATAGCTGTGATGGATTATTATATTACCTTCATTCGGACATAGCTTCATTCGGACATAGCTGTGAGGGATTATTATATTACCTTCATTCGGACATAGCTTCATTCGGACATAGCCGTGAGGGATTATTATATTACCTTCATTCGGACATAGCTTCATTCGGACATAGCTGTGAGGGATTATTATATTACCTTCATTCGGACATAGCTTCATTCGGAAATAGCTGTGAGGGATTATTATATTACCTTCATTCGGACATAGCTTCATTCGGACATAGCTGTGAGGGATTAGTATATTACCTTCATTCGGACATAGCTTCATTCGGACATAGCTGTGAGGGATTATTTCATTCGGACATAGCTGTGAGGGATTATTATATTACCTTCATTCGGACATAGCTGTGAGGGATTATTTCATTGGGACATAGCTGTGAGGGATTATTTCATTGGGACATACCTGTGAGGGATTATTATATTACCTTCATTCGGACATAGCTGTGAGGGATTATTTAATTCGGACATAGCTGTGAGGGATTATTATATTACCTTCATTCGGATATAGCTGTGAGGGATTATTTCATTCGGACATAGCTGTGAGGGATTATTTCATTTGGACATAGCTGTAAGGGACTATTATATTACCTTCATTCGGACATAGCTGTGAGGGATTATTTCATTGGGACATAGCTGTGAGGGATTATTTCATTGGGACATAGCTGTGAGGGATTATTATATTACCTTCATTCGGACATAGCTGTGAGGGATTATTATATTACCTTCATTCGGACATAGCTGTGACGAACGCAAAATGATGTAGCTTATTATAAATCATAGGCACTTATTTTCGTGGTTATCTAAAGTTTAATTATTTCCGCGGCTTAAATTTTCGCGGATTGTAATGTCAACATAATATGGCCAAACAATTCAATGGAGTAAGGAGTCTAAAGAGATTCGGGCCAGGTATTATATCGGTGAAGTAGCTTAACTTATATTGCCAAGCAGCATAAATATTTTTCTTTCGGTTGGTTACCATAATTTTGGACACAAATTTCGCAAATTTTTAGTCTAGTAAAACTATTTTAGTCGAATTTTTTGACTTTTCGAGACCATTTTCCATTACATTTATTTGATTTTTCCATTATTAAGCTATTTTTTAAAAATTTCGCATATAAAGTCCTACTTCATAGTGAACTAAGTACAGACAACGGAACACATGTATCAGAAATTTCCCATGGGCCCACGTGCACACCGCGCTAAACGGTCACGTGAACAAATTATCAACCTTGTGGTCCTGTAACTTACACCATACGCGCGTATTTTGGTAAGGATGAATATTCCCGTACTGGGAACATTCCAACGGCGATCCAACATTACATACATTAGTTACATATCATAAGCATACAATTTCTTATTACATGCAGTAGGGACCTGTACACAGTTAGCGATATCTAACTGTTTATCATAAACATATGATAAAGAATGTAAGCTCAATAAAATTTAATTCATATAATATGCTCTACTAAAATTTTGGTCTACTTCAAAATTAGTCGCCGAAATTTGGTGTAAAACAATTTTAGTCAAAAGTTTGACTAAATTTATGGAAAGCTAAATTTTTCGTTCTTTAAAGGTATATAAACAATAAAAACATCCGCACTGTATAAACAATATATAATTCTATATAATCAATAAAATCAATTCTATATAATCAATAAAATCATTCACACTACTATAATTCTATAAACAAACCTTTCTACAATATTAAGTATTCTTAGAACACTCGGGATTTAAAAACTAATAAAAATATTATAACAGTTATACTGGATTTCATAATATGTATTACTATTATATAATACTGTAAATATAATATACTGTATAATATTCTAAAATATAGATCTTTCTGCAACGATCAGTACACTTAAGGGTTAAAAACAGATTAAAATGTTATTCAAACGAAGTAACAGGTGGAAATAAATAAAATTACACTTAGTTTACATTATCCTGGCTATATATAAGAGCCGAATGGACTATATGATAGTTGAACAAAATCTAAAGAAGTAAAAGATCATTATAATAAATAGGGTAAATAATCACTAAATAAACAATAAACATTCACAGTAACTAAAAATTCGCACTATATAATCTATATATTCAATAAAATCATTCACACTACTATATTATAAACAAACCTTTCTACAATATTAAGTATTCTTAGAACACTCGGGAATTAAAAACTAATAAAAATATTATAACAGTTATACCAGGGATTTCATAATATGTATTACTATATACTGTAAAGATAATATACTGTATAATATTCTAAAATATAGATCTTTCTGCAACGATCAGTACAGTCAAGACAGATTAAAATGTTATTCAAATGAAGTAATAGGTGGAAATAAATATAGTTACACTTAGTTTACATGATGCTGGCCCTAAAAAGCCGAACAGGCTATAAGATAGCCGAACAAAATCTAAAGAATAATAATAATAAATTGAAATTTAATAAAACCGCTTTTAAGATAAAACTTATACTCAGTGTTTAAACTAGTCATCCAAGAAAATAACAAGAATACTAAGTTAAGAAAAGTAACTAATGCTTGAAAATGTATTGTCAATACTTAAGCTAGAAAATGGTACTTAAACATATTATGCAAAGATCTATCACCAGATAAGACAAAAATAGCTATCGATAAAGTTTTTCAAGTTCATCTAGGGACTGTTTAAAAAGGTACGTTTTTAGAAGAGCTTTAAAGAAGTAAAAGATTATATTAATATTATTATTATAATTATAAAAATCTGAATCTAAATTGAAATACTAATCGGGGTATTGATATTGTTGAATTATTTAATGATAAATTGATATAATAATAAATGTGTGTAATATTTTTATCGAGGCACATGCCACCCTATCGCGGGTTTACTACTACTACTTATAGTATAATATTACTGTACAAAAAACTTCACAATCAAGACCAGAACAATTGCACCATAACCATGAGTAAAACCTGAATTTGTACAAATCCATTCATAACACTTCTCTACTTTTTCAGCAGGACCAATGCAAGACCTCTCCTTAACCTCGTGGTAACAGATTCTACTTAGAAGGTAAGCACAACTGTAGTAAGTCTTCCTATCACCATCATTGAAAGTGAGGTTCGTACATAGGCTCTTATTTCGTGGGGCGTCTGTTATTCCATCCTCACTCTGGTACCAGCCACTCCAATATGGTACTGATCACATGATGATTGTTAGAAAATTTAAAATTAAATTTAAACACACTTTTTTGGCCGCAGCAATTCGGACGTCTTAGCCTGATAAAGATACTAGAAAGACGTTAAAAAGAATCCCAAATATTGGATTTAACTTACTTCTAAGGCAAGCAGGTATATCTATGGCTGTCAAAATTCCGTTCTGACAAGTTGATACGTTACTTCCGCCCGTTCCGGACAGGAAGTAGGGGGACGGGCAACTAAGAGCCATTTCCATCCCGTTCTCGATGGGTAGGTCAGTATCTATCGACATATTAGTCATATTCCATGCTGGATTCAGTGTTAGACAGTCGGCTGAAAAAAAAGGTGGTTTGGTTGGTTAGTTTTTCTTCTTCTATTTGTCATCAACTGCTACCAAGAAATGACTTAAATCATAATAATAATAATAATAATAATACATTCTGTGGCCAGCTCTTATGTGTCCCAACTCCCATCTCTTGCCCTGCAAGCCCTGTTTCTTGTTGATACAACATATTATAATTATGTAATAAACATTTTTTGTAGTGTAGGATTGTTTGAATTTCTATTTGTTAATTCATATAATATACACTTTATGATTGTTTTGCCCATTTTTCTTCCCTTGCATTGCAAGCCCTGTCTCTTGTAAAAACATCCACTTTTGTAGATACACACAGTCTCTACGTCTTTATCCTCTGGTCCCTAGGGTCAGCTGACTCCGGGCCAGAGGAACTGAGGAAAATTACCGATTGCCAAGGTTTGATGCCTAGGCAGTCGAGACCTCTTATTGAGACCCGATATAATAATAATAACTAGAAATTTATACAACGCTTTATAGCCAAAAAGAACTCACAATCCAAAGATTCAGTTCAAGCCATCTAAAGTGACTCATGAACATGTACATAAGAACTTAGCATTTTATGAAGTATGGTTTGTGTCAAAGAGATGAGTCTTTAGTCTCTTTTTAAACAGGGCAATATCGGTCAATGTTATCAATTGTATATTCTGAAAATGAAAATTAAATTATATCATTAAGATTATAATTATACATGATGTAATAAATGATAAAGATGATATTAATATCTAGAAAGTGGAAGGTATAAATAAAAAGATTTTTGCCCACCAAAAGTGCAATTCTTAGTACAACCCTCGGTCCGATTAGAATCTCCAGGACAGGGACTTTCCCCGGTGGACGGATAGGGATTCGGGCAAGTTCGGGATCTGGACCGTGTACCTTCTGATGAATTTGCTTCCTCGCAGAGACATGTGCTCCAAGGACCCCACTCCGCCCAATCTTTAAAAATGTGAATTTTGTTCATTAAATAATATTATATATTATTATATATATATAATATATATATACGGTCATACATCTGGATCCTGATACGGTCATACATACGGTCATACATCCTACATACAGTCCTACATACGGTCCTACATACGGTCATACATCCGGTCATACATCCGGATCCTGATGGCACTATGGCGGCACTGTCTTGCACTATGGCGGCATAGTGCCAGACAATCATTATATTTTTTCACAATAACCACGGTGGCATAAAAGCATTACCCTTTATTTACTAGTAAATATAACAAGATTTTTACCCACCAACTGTACAGTCCTCGGCGGTTAGGGTACAACCCTCGGTCTGTTTAGAGTCACCAGGGCAGGGACTTTCCCCGGTGGAGGGATAGGGATTGGGGCAATGTCGTGATCTAGTCCGAATACCTTCTACTGAATTTGCTTCCGCACATTCACATGTGCTCCATCCACCCCATCCCTCCCAATCTGAAATATTAACTATGTATTATATAATTATTTATATCATGATATCAGTATTAAAAAATTTTAATTTATATTGATTATACTCTTTTTTTGTGATAGATGTTTCTTAAGTTGCCTGGTGGTTTAGTTTGTCATTTCTTTCTTTTGACACGCATATAATCTCCATTTGTAAATTGTAATCAATGTCTTAAGTTACAAATTCTAAAACCGTGTTAGAATATACATATGAAATGGTGATAATTACATGAATAAAAAGATGATGTTATTATGTATATAAAAATAACGAAATATATTTGCCGACCAACTGTGCAGTCTTTGGAACAACTCGTGGTCTTTGTAGAGGATCCAGAGCAGGAAAATCCTCCGCAGGACGGAGAAGGACTATTGCAACTTCGTGAACTAGACCGGCTACCTTCTATTAAGTACAGACAGATTATCCGTCTGAAAATTCGATCTACCGTCACAAGAAGCTTTCTAAGGATTTTTTACGTTTTTTAAGTTTTCTAAGTTTTCTAAGTTTTCTAAACTTTTCCACATATCTTAAGGCCACTTTTTGCCACTTTTTGCCACCTAAACACAGCGTTTCATATACCGCATAAAATGATAACTGTACAGCAGGCTATCGGTTCGATCTTGACTGTGCCATTGGTCATTGACGTGCAGTTTCTGTGAAAATCGATAAGGCTGTAGTACTGTAATTAGTTATGAAACTCTAATATCTTATGGTTAACGTTTTTCAGTTTCAGACCTTTCCACTTAGTAATTCCTGAAATTTACTAAAATCTGCCAAGATTTACTGAACTTCAACTACAAATATTGGTAATTTAAGTATTCTTGAAACTAAAAATTCACGAAGGTTTATGAAAAGCATATATCTTGAATTTTCGAAATTTTTCCAAGTCTCGAAAAAAATATAAGTGAAATTTTTCAAAGTTTTTCTTAAAACTACTTTTCTCCGTGTTTTAAGCTATTCCGATCATTTTGAGCCAAAAATCATTATATTAGCTAATTTTGATAATTATCCAATTAACTGATTGTCTGACGTAAAAATTGCCTTTACAAAAGTTTTTCTCCTGATAAGATGAACACCCTCGATTAATCCGCAAGCTTTTACAGTGTTCAAAACTAAAGATATTCGACAAACAAGAAAGGTGGTAAAAAGTGGTAAAAGTGGCAAAAAGTGGCCTTAAGACACGTGGAAAAGTTTGGAAAACGTGGCCAGCCATAGGGGGCACCTAAGGGGACTCAAAAACGTCAAAAATCCTTAGAAAGCTTCTTGTGTCGGTAGATCGATTTTTTCAGACGGATCTGTCTGTACTATATAAGCTTGACCCATGTTATCCCTGAAATGTTTGTACACTTCTGATACGGAATTCAAGAGTTATTCAAGGGGTGCGTGTGGACTGTTACTTCTGGGCCAACCTGTATGTATAAATTTTACTAATTAATGATATTATGGAAAATTATGAACATGAATCCTCTGGTGAGGACGGTAAAATTAAAATCCGCAGATCTTCCTCGAATTTCACATAAGTTATACGATTTACCATCTGTCAAAAATATTTAAGTTATAAAATAATATCATTTTTTACAGATATAAATTATCAAATAAAATCATTTCCTATCATTTCAGCAATTTCGATAACTCAATTACTTCAGAGCATTCTTAAGGTTTAATATGGCCTCTGAGTAGTCCTTCAAATGGGCGCTGTTAGCTAAACCACTGTGGTCCGCGCTGTCTATAGCAGTGCACAGTGTCCGTATACTCTGCATTATTCGTAAGTCAACTGCATCGCTGTCCTGAGTGGGCACTGCTTCTGTTCTTGTTCCTGAAAATAATATATGTTTAATAACATAAATAAACAAATTTTATTTATTTTATTACACTAAGTGGACACTCTCACTTCGTCCCCAACTATCAAATATGTTCGACTTACTCAAAACATGAAAGGTGTTGTGCATATAATTGCATGATAAAACCCAACAGCAAGAAATCTAACTGCATGCATAAAAAAAGGCAAATCTCAACAAGTTACAATAAGTAAGTAAGTAAGTAAAAATTATGACATAACATCATCACTAATGTCTACGAAATATAATTGCACTACATGGAAAAATATACAATAACTATTTCTCCATCAAATTTAAAAGTAATAATGCATCATGTTTAATGTTCCAACCTGAACGAGTAACAGAACTTTGAGCAGCAGCAACAAGTCTGGGAGGAGGTGAGGGTGTCCGTCTCAGCTCTCTTTGTTCCCTCTCTGCTGCTTGTTGAGATAACATGGCATATAGATCTTCTCTGGTCGTACCCACCGGTACATCAGTGATAACTGTGGTGGTGGCTGGGGCCTGTACAACTGGCTGTTCATTGTCCGGTACTAGGTCAACCTCTTGGCAGCCAACACAGTATGTTTCCTTTCTTCTGTTCTGAATAAAAAGTTATTCAATGACAACATAACAAACGTGCAATGAATTTTATAAGTTAGTTTTTTAAAAACTAATTACAAAACTACAAAAACTAATTACAAAACTGCAAATCAGTTACATTTATTGAGTACTACTACTCAGTTAAACAAAAATTCATGAAGATTTTGTTGTAACTTTGTATGAAAAGCATCACTAAAATAATTGCATCCTAAAATGTAGTCTAGTTTCTTTTTAATGTAGATTACCTCTAATAAAACCGTATGGCACGTCTCACATTCATCAGCTAACATCTTGTAGCCTCTTAACAAATAGTTGCCAACTAAGCTACTTATCCGATCCAAACGCTCCATCCTTTCGTTTTGATCAGTAGAATATACATTAACCATGTCACCTGATGAGAATGAAGTTTAATGACCTAGTATAAATACAGAAAATAAACAACAATATTAAGATCCTATTTATATTGGTTATTGTGAAGGGTGTCAGAATCCAGAAGAATAAGCGAGTAGAGGCAATTATAACACGATACACTGAAAACGTTAACATTCAAAAATTAATTTAAAAGGGTCAGAAACATAAATTTTTAATTAAAGACATCGAAACAGCCAAAATTAGAACCCCAAGTGTTCATCCACCACCATTCCAAACAAATCGAATCAATATTCTGACATAAACATCATCATAACATCAAAGATAAATCTTAAAATTGTAGTTCCACTATTAATATAAAATACCCTGGTGCAAAGATTTGGAGTTTTTCTAGTACTTGTGCACAAGTCGCAAAAAGAATTCGAATCTCCAGTCTTCTCTGAACGATTAAATTGAAGTAGTACTAACATATAATGGTCACATTACAGCTACAGTCTTGTGACACTGATGGTAAACTGTTGTGACATTTTTGTTGTGCTACAGTGAAAGCCTTGTTACACTTTCAGCCTTTTGTATGCTGGAATGATCACCTGGGATGATTTCTGTGATTACTGTGGTGAAAGCTCTAAATAAAAACTATTTCAATCTTTTGCGATTTGAATACAACTACTGATAACCCAGAAGTCTCTATCACAAGAACAGCAAAATAGGCTGCAGAAAAGAGCACACAAAACAAATGAAACAAACTTTCACGGGTAATACTCCAATACAAAAATATCACTGCAATTTAAAAGTGTTTAGAGTCCAAATATCTTTTAAGTCAGCTGCCCAAAAAAACTGAAATTATTTCGACCCCGTTTATTATTTTTCATTACTTACAACTTAGCTTTCTTTCCATTGCTCGCTTCACCTTAACGAACTAGGTGCTAGGGTCCTTGCTGGCCTAATTAAACAAACCATATTTTCCAGGCTCCACCGAGGAGTTGATAAACGAAGAGGACCGACTAGCAGAGTTGACGGGAGACCCTTCAGTTCAGTTGCCAGAGGAGGAGGCGGGTACAGTTACCAGGTATGGTAACTTTCTCAAATAAGGAAAAATGCAGTCACTGCCTTAAGAGCTTATGTTTAGGTCAAAAATTTGTTGAATGTTTTAAATGTAATTGCATTATACATGAAAAATGTTTCAAAAACTCTGAAGCAACCGTGATCAACTCAAATTACTTTTGTAGTCAGTGCAAAGCGCTAATCCTTAAACAGTACAACCCGTTTAAAGATATGATTAGTAAGTCGGATAACAATAACAACGACCCCTTGATTCTGAAAATGTCACAAGTTCTAGAATATTGTAAGCCTTACTCCACCAACAAATTTAATAACGAACTTAGTGCCGATCTTCATAAAAATGGTGGCTCTTTCTTCCTGAATATCGACGGCAATAAAAGCAACTTCGACCATCTCATATCTGAATTAGAGTGCCTCAAACACAATTTCCCTATCATAGGCCTTGCCGAAACCAATATTAGCCCAGAAGAGAGTTCCGTTTACCCTATTAATGGATTCAATAGTTTCTACCAGACTACAATGCATAACAAATCGAAAGGAACGGGCGTTGCAGTTTATGTTCACAGTGCTTTTAATGCAGTCGTTAATGTAGATGTATCAAACGTCACCAGTAATTTAGAAAGCCTCTTTGTGACTATTCATCAAGAATCTAAAACTATAAACGTAGGAGTAATCTATAGACCCCCTAGTGGAGACATTGACCAGTTTCTCGCTGAGCTACAAGTAATTATGGGTAAACTCCCAAAGTTAAATGTACATGTAATGGGTGATTTTAATATTAACCTCCATAACGGCAATAGAAGATGCACACAAGAATTAGAAAACATAATGCTCGGATTAGGGTACTCACCAACGATATCTATCCAAACACACGAAAAGCCTGGATGTAAACCATCCTGTATTGATAATATTTTCACTAATGAAATCGAAAGCACGTTGTTTACAGGAACGTTGCAACTCAATGTTTCTCACCACCATGCCATCTTTCAAATCAATAGTTGTCTTAATTTTGTAGCTGATGAACCTAAACTTAAACACGCACAATATTACGATTATAGCACCTCAAATGTAGACGCCTTTCTCACATCAATTGATAATGAACTACATACCAATCCTCCTGAAAACTTCAGTAGTTTCTGCACTACTTTTCAGAAGCACCTAGACGAGGCATTCAAACTTGACAAACCGAAATTATCTAAACGTAACGCTTTGAACAACCCATGGATTACTAGTGGTATTGTTACCTCAATTTGAACGAAAGACTCGCTCTATGATTTGTGGAAAAAGTCTCAGAAGAAAAAATGTTTATTGCTAACTAATAATAATAATATTAAACGCGAGGAGTGTAATTGCCTCACTTGTATGAATATAGCAAAAAGATACCTTGAATATAAGGATTACAGGAAGCATCTCAAGGCACTTATTGACCGTGTCAAGAAGAATCATTATGCAGGTAAATTAACTGACTGCTCTGGTGATAGTAAAAAAACGTGGGAAATCATAAACACTATTCGTGGAAAATCCAGGCGTGAAATAAAGCCATGTTTTATCCTTAACGATCAAAAAATAATAAATCGTAGGATGATTGCTAATGAATTCAATAAATATTTTCAGTCGATTGCATCCAAACTAAATGAAAATTATTCTGAAGATTATATAACCCTGGATGCAATTCCCTCATTCTCAAACTTCTTACCTAAAACCTGTGAGTCAAGTATATATCTAAGTGATTGTAC